GAGAGAGAGAGAGAGAGTGAGATTGAGCGACCGAGAAGGGCTAGAATATGATGGGAACCACCCCCCTCCCCGCCTTTCCCCCACCGTCACCCATAACCCCCTCGAGCCCAACGGGCAATGCGTCCACAATTGGGTCAGCTAACATTTGGAGCAAATGGCCAAATGCGACGGGCCGTGACAGAAGCATGAAAAGTGCTTTAAGCAAACATTTGCCAGATCTGCTTAAATTTCATTATGAAAAGAAATCTAACAAAAAATGCAAGCAAATATTTGCCAGTGAGGAAGTGGCCCCAGGAAGAGGGACGATATTGAATACAAATAAATATGCATACATACATACACATATGTACATATGTCCATAAATATTCACACAATTGTGAATGAAATAATGGTTCCACATGCTTGATGCGAATAATAACAGAAATACAAAGCGGATTAGAATTTGTAAGTGATTATAGGAAATTTAACACTTAAGCCATGCTAAAAAATATCTATGTAAAATATGTGCACAAAAAGAAGCTTAAACTGGCATTGCAATGAAGTAAACAAAATGCATTTGAATTATAATAAAAATACGGATGGAATCATTGCAATTCAGGCATAGGCAGAGACCTCAGCAATCAGAGGATTAGTTATAGGCTTTTATATTCGATTAAAGATTAATTATTCAAACATCAACTGTAGTCAAGTAAATGCTTGTATTGTAGAGTACTCCCCCACAAGTGTACCCTGATCGCCCAACTATGAAGATCTTCAGCAGGAACCTCACCTCACCTCATGATGACCGAGAGCCGATGACTGATGACTGATAGTTGTTCCAATGATTGACACCTAAATTCCCTTTATTGAGTGGACTAATATATTTAGATCTGATTTAGTAGAGGATGATGCCGATGACGACGACGATGTCCACCTTCTGCTGTGCGAAACAATTTCGCCAAATTGATTGTCATTTGTGTGGGCGGCTCAAACGCATTCCGGGGGAAAAGGTGAGACCATCATTTACAAATCCAGCTCTGACAATCCACTCCCATTTGTCCTCTCGGGGCTCTGTCTGTTCTCTGTCCTTCTCTGTCCTTCTGCCCAGGCGAAGCATGGCTGGCTGGCTATGGCTGGCATCTCAAAATTCGTAAATGGCTATTTGTAAGCATTTTGCAGTCATTACACAATCCCCAGAAGCTGCTCTCCCAGCAGGCGGCCCAGAGACGTCCGTAGCCCTTAATTAATGGCCACTTTTGGGAGCAGTTGGCAGTTTCTAATTTCAAATAAATAAACGCTATTCCCAGTGGTCCCCCCACAAGTAGTGAAGACACCTACTGAGGGGTGGGTGAGCTGACCGAAAGCCCAAAAATTGCCTCTACATGGCTACATGGCTTTTGGAGATCGGTAGTCCGTTATTATGCAATGAAGTCCGATTTATCCACAAACTCAAATAAATACTACAATGAAAATGCTCCACTCGCATTCGCATACATTTAATGGCTTTTCATTTTAAATATTTGTTTGTTTATTTTGTTTAAATTGGCCCTCTGTCTCGGCCTCTTTTTTTCACAGCTGTGAACGATTTTCTGTATTTTGCATTTGCACTTTTGGGGGCAGGGAAATTTCAAAGCTAAATATTTCCACTTGATTGCCATGTGTGGCACACAGACTCCTCAGTTTGTGGGCCCAATCTTTTGTGCCATTTTTCATGTCAAAATTATTCAATTATTGGCGAAGCGAAGCAGAATAAACAGAGCAAACGGAGAAGGGAAACGCATTATTGATACCCCTTCTTATATAATACGTAGCACTTTCAATGAGGTGCCATTAAAGGATTCTTGGGCAATACTCTTGGTCTATGTATCCCAACTAAAGCTGCAAGTATTTCCAGCTTTTTGAGCTGCCTCTGACCCGATACAATCCTTGACTCTCTTAACTCTGACGCATTGGGCATGAAGCAAACAATCTGTGTAACCATCGGTTGAGTTTGCTAATGGATGAGTATGTGTGTGTGTGTGTGTGTGTGTGTGTCTGTGTGAGAGAGCTAACTTCCGGTCGGCCTCCATCTTGTGTGGGGTCACATTTTCTGCTTGCATTAATTTACAATTACGGATAGACCGTGAACAGCTGCCTCCCCTTTGATCCGGCCTGGTAAGCAGAAGCGGAGGCATTGGCTGGCAGCAGAGGCGCAGACAGGGGAGGAGTAGGAATAAGAGAAGCGGAGATTAGTTAAATTATTATCCCCAAAATTAAGGCAACATTATTTGGATTTCTCTGTTCCTGCACGTGGCATGCCAACGTCCCTGTCCCTGTCCCTGTCCACAGACCCCGACCGTCGTCCCTCTATCAACGAGTCTCACATTTGAGACCCTTTCTGTCTCTTTTGCCTTTGTCTATGGACCGGGGTCGGTCTTTTCTTTGTGTGCGCCCTCAGACGAATTCGGGTTACCAGTGACCTTTGCCATATTGAATCTCAAATTACTAAAAGCCAAAAATGTCCTTTGGCACACAACAAAGAACAGGTAAAGGAACACACATTGACAACGTGAAAGTCAGTCATCAGTTGGTTGTTTGGTATTGGCATTGGCATTGGCTGGCAATTTGTGTAAAAGCTGGCAATTTCTGGCGATATTCTGCAATTAAATTGATTCATTTCAGGGATATCTTGTTCTGCATTGAGGGACGACTCAACCATATTGTGTTAACTCACCGCTGGTAAGTCAATTCATTAATGAAATTGGGAAAATGCATTTGCCATTGCCAAAATGATGATGGTGTACTGCAGGGACCACAAGTATTCCAGTTGCGAGTCATAATTGTAAAATAGTTGCCACCTCATCGGAATGCAATTCCAACACTCGACGGCTGAAGTAATTATTTAGCTTGTCAGACAAGGAATTGAAATAACTATTGACGAATATCTTATGTTGCTCAATGGGGAGAAAGGGGTACACCATAAATGCTGCCAACAAATAAAAGACTATCAGAAACAATCAAAGTTAGCAACAATAATTGACATATCAATAGCGTACATGTGTACATACATATGTATGCAGTAGTACAGCAATCAAATCCAATTGACTTGCGCTGTGCATGGAGTCGACTGGCGGTAGCCTTTAAGTGGAGCAATCCAACAGCCAACGAATTAAGTCGGCTCACAACTTCAATTGAACACAGCCAGGCATACTATACACGTTTGTATGGGAACATTACATCCATGCACTCGTCTGTTTGTATGTGCATGTACACTTGGAGAAATAATCATTAAATGTTAGTGTCAAGGAGAGAATAGCAATTAATGAGAGTTTAGATAGTGATAACTGACATAATGAGGAGTACGGATGTGCATTAATTCTCATACGAAGTCCCTGAAGGCCACTCCTGGGGATTCTTGAATCCGTTGGCCCTGCTTTCCTTTTTCCGAGTGCACACATATCCATGCATACATCCATATTTACGAGTACGTAGGTATGTTTGTGTGAGGCATGTTGACCAACTTGGCCGACTGCCACAAACGCGACAGCATAAAAAAAGGCACCGGCCGAATGGCATCTCGCTCTAGCGACCTTGACTGCAGTGCCTGTGCATCCCGGCCAACTGTCGTCTATTTTGCCAGCACACACGCACTCTAAGCCACTCACTCACACACACTCAAGCACATGCACACATGCACATACACTCTTAAACACATACGCATACGTACATACGCATGGGCAAGGGAAGCTTTTCGCAGACTGGTTCGTTTTTCTTTCCTTTTTGTTTTGTTTCTGATGCGAAAAATGTGCGAGTCAATTAATTACAGGCAAAACTGCGTACGCAGACCAAGCCATGCTCACGCACACACGTACGTATGTGTGTGTCTCTTCTGTGTCTTCTGTGTAGCATACAATTTGGGGCAAAGTACACACCAGAGTTCTGCAGAGGAGTTCGAATTTGTATGGATAAAAAAGAAAATGTAATGCATTCGACTGGTGGCAGAAATTGGTAAAGCAACACAAAGGGCCACAAAAGCCATATGCTATGGATTGGATGATCCAATATACGCATACACTAATAGACTTGTGTATGCTTAGCGTTTATTATACCCGTACTCAAAGAGAGTTAACTGGTATATTCGATTTGTGGTACAAGTGGATGTGTGTAACGCAGAGAAGGAAACCTTTCCGCCTGTCCGCCTGTCCGTCTATCCGTCTGTTTGTTTGTCTGTCTGTATGTATGTCTGTCTGTCCGTCTTGATGAGCGCCTAGATCTGAATCATAATTATTGCCAGAATGAAGAAATTAAGATGTAATTAAGAAGATGTGGATTCTACATGTACCATTTAGATTCTACATGTTAGATGCTTATGTAGATGTAGATAACAGATAAGGCAAAAAAATGTAAAATGTATTTTAGAATTCTACATAAATCATAAGCTCACAATCTATATACTGACTGAGTACGGGTATAGAAGTAGAGTCGCGTCGAAAGAAGCGACTCACCCGTTCCTTCTCGTCTAAGTGTGTATCTGTGTGTCTGCATAAATAAGCAAACAAATGAACCTCTAATGAGGTCACAGAGGGGCAGTGACCATTCCGGCCATGTTTTATGTATCACCACCACGTTTTGTGCCGCACCGTACCCCGTGGATGTAACTGCCAGCCATGTCTAAAGAAGCCAGCACTCTCTTCCAGCTACGCACTCAATCGAGCCGTATCCAAGGTGTACAATGGAGTGTGTGGCACTCTGTCTCTCTCTGCTGATGCAGGAAAATATAAGGAAATAATTTGTACATATGTACATATATACCATATAATATGAGAAATAGGTTTGGTTTCTGGATAAATACTACAACTAATTTGGACCTTCCATAAAATAATTTTAAAAATAGAGTTATAGTTTTTCCCTAGCCTTTGCCATTTAAAGTAAATGTAATCAGCCCACCCTTTATAGATATACCTTGCTCACAGCCTCCCCTCTCTACCCCACACACTCTCGTATCGGTGCTCTCCCGTTCTCACTCCTCCCATAGCACTTACCGTAAACTGCTTGGCCAACAATTAGCAGCGTTAGCAGCAGCAGCAGCAGCAGCAGCGGGCATCGTGGGACCGGGATTAACCTTTGATTTTGTTGCTGCTTTCGTTGCTCTTTCTCTGCCTTCGGCTGCTGCTGCCTCGGTCGCTGCTCTTCCAGGGTCTGCTGCTGCTGCTCCTTCCTCTCCAGTAGTTGTTGTTGTTGTTTGCTGATAATAAGACTGCTGCCGCTGCTGCTTCTTCTTCGACGCATTTTGTGTGAGGATTTGCCAGCTTCAGTCCTATTGCCGCCTCCCTCTCCGCCGCTCAACCAGAGGGTCGCCCTCCTCCACACGTAACTGTAAAGTACACAAGAACAAGAGAGTGAGCACACAATGAGCAAAGTGGAGGCGCACAAGGAGGAGCGAAGCAACATAACAGCCACGGCACGGCACGGCACGGCACGGCAGTCCAATTGGAGCGAGAGTGAGACAATTGATCCAATTGGAACAGCAGCAGCAGCTTCGCTTCCTGCGTCACGGCGACAAATGAGTTTCGCCCCAAATTGAGTTTTGCCCTACTCTCGCGAAAGAATGCCAAATGTCATTGACAAAAATAATCATAATCGTATCAAGTGGCATCGGAACTCCGACGAGTATAGTACAAACATACATATGTACACACATATGTAGGTATGTAGGTATGTATGTACAATGTACATTGCAACAGTTAGACTTGCAACAGTTAGAGAATTCCAAGCTTACCCTGAAAATTCCATTCCACGTCTGTTCTCTTCAAATTAAATGTCGATAATTGTGGTATGCTACTAGACCTAACTAACTTACATATGTACACACATATCTGAACGATTAGTATGTAATTTGGTCGTAATCAAAAATAAATATATTTGGGATTACTCAAGAAGCCGTTGACAGGCGCAGCAAATATCTAAACTGCCTCGTTTCTAGGACCTCGACATCCCACTCATACATAAATATGTATGTATGTACATCTTCCAGATATATAAACATACACTTTTAGGGAACCACGTTACAAATAATATCCCCATGGTAAGACCAATGTCTGCCTCTGAGTCAATGAATTTCACATCCATTTTCGGGGCCAAGCCTTTGAACAGCCTTCTGGTGCATGCCTCCCAGGGAGTCAACTTCAACAAGACACAAATACAGACAGCAAAAGTGAAAGTTCAAGTGGCTGCTAGCATGGATAGAAAGCCAAAAGAACCCGGAACGCACAGAGATAAACAATGGGGAAATGGAACAGAAATCGAAGGGCTTGCTGGCTGGAAACTGGAGAAGAATCTGCTGGCCGATAATGTTCCCATAAATTAACGATCTTTCGACTCTCGATATCGACGATACCATCAGGCTGATAACTGCACTGACAGGCACCAAATTCGCGATGGCATACACTTGGATGGTAAGGTAAGGATCCCCTGTTATCCAGCGATTAGCTGGTCCCCGTGCTGATCGCTGCTTTTTTCATGAGCAGCCGTTGACTCTCAAGAGGCATCTTGGAGGCTTCCCGGCACTCGCGAAGCTTCTCCGCGAGGGAAGCCTACTGCTGGCCTTCTCTTCTTCTCTTCTGGTTTTTGGTAGCAGCCCCGAAGCAGCCCCGCCAATTGTATGCCAATATGCCAAAGCTGTTGCCTTCCTACCTTTTGCTCCACTGGGCGCACAGGACTCTGCTCAATGTGGCTGGCACAGGAGCTGCGGGCTTGCCCAGGAGAGGCAATGTCCGTACTACAAGGCCACGAAATTCCTTGCATAGATTCCCCTGATTGTGCAAATTTTCGTTCCAAAATACGAATTTAAATTCCCTGTTTATGATGCACTTCAACTGGTCAAATCTCATGCTGCGCCCATCTGATCATCTCAGGATTCTGCATTGCTATCGGTCCCACCAGATTCCAGAAACTTAGGCACCTGATCTATAATAAATATGCCAACTATCTAGGAAAATACAGAATTTAAACTTAAACTGAAATCAACATTAAGACTAGAATTCAAAATGAAGCATACGAAAAATACTCGTAGTGTAACAATCTTAAACTTTCGATAAACACAAATACAAATAAGAAGATATAGAAGGATGGAATATACTCGCAGAATGCAATCGCTGTACCCTTATATTGTCTATCTGAAGCCATATCCATCCATGCATGTCCACTATATCCCTTATACGAGTATTTAGGAGTATGTACGTACTAGGAGCACGGCTGCACCTGAGTGACCCAAATTTGTTATCCGTTTTGGCGTTTGGGCTTACAGTTCTGTAGACTGCGGCAGGGGATGGACGATGAACGATGGACAGCAGCCTCTGCACTATGGGAACTTTCACCACTTTTTCTGGCCAAAACTCATTTTTCGAAAGTAGTTAAAATAATATATGTGTTGACCTGATATATCCGAATAACATTGATCTTTAATGTTATGCAAAAAAAAAGTTAACAGCGCGCGCCACTGTTAAATTAACAGCTGTTAAAGTCAGCTGTTTGCTATCGATAGGCCAATGTTGGTGGAAAAATTTGTTTTTTCGTCTTATAAAAAGTGCTAAAAAGTTATAAATTCATTAATTTAATTGATTTCTTTACAATGGGTTCGATTCAGACAGGTATGTAATATATGTTTATGTGTTTGAACTGTTAAAATTGTGCTCATAATTATGTTTAATGACTCATTTTTTAACAAGTCTAAATTTGTGACAAAAATGTGTCTTTGAAGAGGCGTACAAAAAAAGTGACGTCTCTTGGAAGCATAGGACTGAATGCATCTTGTAGGAAATTCAATTCGTGTTCAAATGTTTATAGTGGTAATCCGCGCCTCGTCGCGTCTTCTTTGCAATATTTACTTTTAGACAAAAACATAGGACTGCAGCAACATTTGAAACGGTTAAATGTGATTTTTGGAGGGTTGGTCAACCAATTTTAGTTGAGTCATTTCTCGATCGATTTTTATGAACAATGCTTTGATCGACGCTTAATTGATGCATCTACACACAAAAAATATAAGAGCAAAGGATACGATTTGTTTTCGACTTTTCTTGCGTTTTTAAAGTCAAAATTTTGAAAAAAGTTCTGAGCAAAACCGATCAATTTTGCATTGGAAAACTTAATATTTTCCAGACGGTAAGCTGAAGCTACAAGGTGCTCAGGTCTGCTTTATAGATGCATTTATCAGCTTTTCAGAATGTCAAAGTTCATTGCAACCATATGTAAGATACTTAAGTAATGTGCAAAATAAAAGAGCTACCTCTGAAAAAAGCATCACAAAAAATACCAAGAAAAGTTCGATTTTGTCGAGTAGTGATATTGACCGATATCCCTGGTTGTCAATGACTGCTACAGTGCTCAAAATATTAGTGAATTCAAGCGATATAAAAGAAAACAAGATTCTACCTGTGGGATATTTTGCAGAAGAGAGTGCCAAGTTTCGAAATAAAATTTATAAAATTTTAGATTTAAAATGAGGCCGAAAAGAAAATTTCACGGACGTGTTCCACATTTCAGATACTATTATCTCATCGATTAACCTTGAAAGGAGCATAAAAAAGCAAAAATAATCTCATTCCAACTGAGGTGTTCGGTCTTTTACAAAGCGAGTTCATTCGTTCAGGCAGAGATCCACTGGAGCAGATTAGTTTCGATGAGCTGGCTGAAGATCAATTCGAATTCTCGTGGATGATGGGGCTCAAAAACAAACTCCATGAGGATTAACAAAAGGTGTGAAAGGAAACCTATTATTTACAATAAATTTGTGTTTCTTTCATATTTCAGGTCTTCTGATTAAAATTTTTGTGAAAAAGATACCAGAAATAATAATTTTCATTTTTTTAAAATTGTTTTTAAGGCGTGCCACGCCCTCTTGAATAAAATAAGATGTTCTCAACATGTTCCCAAAATTTTTGTTTTTTTACTTTTTGAGCAAAAAAATAAAAATGAGATTTCTTTATAAAAAAAGGAGTTGCCACGCCCATTTTTTCAAAATACCTTCATTTTTCAATTATAAACTCATATCAAAAAACTAAACCAAAAAATATTGTTTCGTTTGGAAGTTATTAATTATTGCCACAAAAAGTGGTCAAATTTCCCATAGTGCTCTGGTCGAAGTCGACTGACTGCCCTGCCTCCGTTCCCCCGGAGGCGTCGTAAAGCATGACCCCAATTGAATTGTTACGCTCGTGATAATAAAATTTTATGTGCGGCTAATATTAGGCACTCGTGTCTCGTTCGTGTCTCGTATCCTGTGGCCTCACGCGACTCCTGCGGCAGCCACCAAACAATGTCACTTAGGATCCTGGGAACACCCCACCCCACCCCACCACACCCCACTCCCCCACAGTAAATCCCTATGTCTGCATGTACATCACTATGTATGTATATATGTGTATGTGTATGTGTATGTATTATATGTTTTTGGTGGTATTTTTCTTGGGGCTGCTGCGACTGTTGGAATTTTATTTTGAAGACGAAACTAATTTGCTTCCGTTATTGATTTTGGGAGTGGGGCAGCAGCCTCGCGAAAAAGGATCTGGAAAGGATCTGGGGGGGTCGAGCTGTGATGGTGTCCAAAATTTATGCATAACTTTTGCTCTCTGCCCGAGAAGGAGAAGCCGCTGAATCCTTGATAGCCAAACACTTTGATTACACGCGCCGCCACCCATTCACCCATTCACCCATTCTCCCGCCATGTCCGCCTCCGCCTCCGCCACCGTCTCCATCCACCCTCGCACGCCCCGCCCCCTCTTTTATTCTCTGCATGTTTTTCGAATTTTTTGCGCTTCAGTTGTCTCGGGCGATTCCTCGTGGCGTTAAGTACTCAAAAAAGAGAAAACAGAGCAACCAAAAAGAAAGGGAAATCCCGGAGCAGACGCAGAGAATGAGGAGGGACTGCTAAGAAGGGGATGAGCACAAGAGAAAGTCCTGGGGATAACAGAGCTCGCGCCCACTCGATTTGCATAGTAGGGCGAAGCCTAAAAAAAAACAGAACACAAAAAAAGGGCGCAGAAACCCATTTGAATGCTAGAAGAACCCACCGAGTCCTGGAAAGGCTCGGCACCCGCATCAAGAGCACACAGAAAAAACAGGACACAGGACATTGTCCAGGGCTTTCATTAGGGTTCCCGGCAGGCAAGAAAGGAGTGAGAAAAAAAGTGCAATTTGGGCAAATGTTTGGTGTCATTTGTGGGCCGGAAATTGGGGGCAAGGCAACCGTTCAGCTGCTCAAGGTAGGCAGGGCCAGGGACTTGTTTCAGCCCTCAGAACAGTCGAGGAATGACTATAGGGCCATGGAGCAACATATCTGCTTAATTCGCAATTAAACAAAAGCCAAAGGGAATC